TATTCTGACAGCTCTAACGAAGAATATTGCTTCTCATGGTTTACAAGCCTTCAAAGAATTCAGGGGAGGTCTAGAGGCCAAGAAAAAGCCTTTAGAAATTATTCAGGTACCTGAGAAGTTGGGCAAAGTACTACGGAGCGTAGAAAAGGGTCGTGCGTTCCGTGGAGTTAATATTCTCTCCCCGCAGCACAGTGTTAAGGCTCCCCGTCGCCCACAGGTGAAGCCTACACAGCTGCCAAGGCTTAGAGGAGACATCCAGGCTCAGGAAAAATTATACAAGCCTCGGAAAAATCCTCCTACCCCCCAGGTGAAGTTGGAAAGCGCTGAGTCAGGTATAGGAAAAAGGGAAGGTATTAAGTTTGATGTACCCTATGATCCTATTAACGAGACCCTCTTTGGCTACTCAGCACAGCAGAAACCACTACTCCTCGAGGTGTTATGCAATGGGCGATGCCTCCAGGCATTGGTGGACAGCGGTGCATCTCACTCGGTGTGTGACCGCGGAGCATTGGAGAAAATTGGAGAGAAGGCGGAAGAGACCCAGTTTTCAGCAACCATGGTGGACGGTACGAAGCTTCCTATCCACGGCGAAGCATCACTGCAACTGCATATAGGTGCGTTGAGGTGGAAGCCGAAGCTACCAGTTACCAACATCAAAGGATTAGATTTTATCTTGGGGCGAGATTTCCTAAAGCGGTTCAACCCCGAGATCGATTGGGTCAGCAGCAAGGTGTGCATCTACAACAATGGGAAGCGGATAGCACTGCGAAGCTGGACGGATACAGGGGACGTACCTGAAACGACACTGGCACGGTTCGAACAGACGGTGAACAAGAGTAACACGGGTTATGGCAGCAGCAGAGGAGGAGAAGCCGAGTTCCGAGCTACCTGCAGCAGTGAAAGAGGTCTTGGAGCAGTACAAGGATATAATGCCCGACGACCTACCTGCAGGCGTACCTCCAGCACGCACCCACGAGCACGAGATCGTGGAGGAACCAGGTGCGAAACCCGTCTCACGTGCACCATACCGACTGAGTCCGACTGAACTGACAGACATGAAAAAACAGATAGAGTATCTACTGGACAGACAACTGATCCGCCCATCCACCTCTCCCTATGGCGCACCAGTTCTCTTCACTCCAAAACCAGACGGCAGTCTACGGATGTGCATCGACTACCGCGCACTGAACAAACAGACAGTAAAAAACAAATATCCCATACCGCGCATAGACGACCTACTCGATCAACTGCGTGGAGCAACAGTATTTTCGAAGCTAGACCTACGATCGGGCTACTGGCAGATCAAGATGGCAGACAACTCCGTCCACAAGACAGCGTTCTGTACCAGATACGGCTCCTACGAATACTTGGTGATGCCGTTCGGACTCTGCAACGCACCAGCAACGTTTCAGGCGGAGATGAATCACATCTTACGACCCCTGCTGGACAAATGCGTGGTGGTGTACCTGGACGACATTCTCATCTACTCCAAGAACATGAAGGAGCACGTGGAGCATCTGCGGAAGGTGTTCGAGATCCTGCGGAAAAACAAGTTCTACGTGAAGCTGTCAAAGAGCGACTTCGCCCTGAAGAAGGTGCAGTTTCTCGGGCACATGGTGAGTGCCGAGGGCGTACACGTGGACCCACGGAAGATCGAAGCCGTCAAGAAGTGGAAAGTACCAGAGAACGTGAAGGAGTTACAGCAGTTCCTAGGCTTCGCCAACTACTACAACAGGTTCGTGCCGCAGTACGCTAAGATAGCAGCGCCACTAACCGACCTACTGAAAAAGGATACGCCCTACAAATGGGATACCCTTCATCAGCAAGCCATGGAGCAGCTACAGACAGCACTGACTACAGCGCCAGTACTCATCTTGCCAGATCCAGACAAGGACTACGTGGTGGAAGCAGACGCTAGTGACCAAGCAGTCGGAGCAGTACTGATGCAGGATCACGGACGCGGTTTGCAGCCCATCGCCTACCTCAGTAAGAAGCTACACGGAGCAGAACTAAACTACCCCATTTACGACAAGGAAGCCTTAGCGATAGTCATAGCCTTCAAGGCGTGGAGGTGTTACCTAGAGGGAGCCAAGACTACAGTCTATACTGACCACTGCAGTCTCAAATACCTGAAGTCACAACCGACACTCTTAGGACGACAGGTGCGGTGGGTGGATTTCCTGGAAACTCACTTCCACTACGACATCGTCTACAAGCCCGAGCTACACAACAAGGCAGACGCGTTGAGCCGCCCCGGACATGTAGCAGGCATCTAGCTCGACGGGATGAACCCTCTCCTCAAGGGTCTATTCCAACATTGGTACTCCGTGGACGCAGAGATTGCTACAGCACAGACCAAGAAGCTATTACAGTCGGAGAAAGACTTAGCTGTAAGGAAGGGTTCAGGAAAGATTTGGGTACCGAATTACGCCCCGCTACGGCAGATCCTATTGGAGGAGTCTCACGACGTACCTTACGCGGGACATTTCGGGAGCAACAAGACGTTAGCAGGGATAGCGAAGTATTACTACTGGCCCGGGATGGCAGCAGACGTGCAGCAGTTTGTCACCTCTTGCGACACGTGCCAGCGGATGAAGAGCAGCAAGCAGAAAAAAGCAGGGTTACTTCAGCCTCTACCCGTACCGGAGCAGCCATGGCAGGTCGTTAGCCTCGACTTCATCACAGGACTTCCTTCGACCTCACGGGGACATGATTCCATCCTCGTGGTGATCGATAAGTTCTCCAAAATGGGTCACTTCATACCGACCAACGCCACAGCTACACCTGAAGCAACTGCTCGACTCTTCTTCGACCGCATCATCACCATCCACGGCATCCCCGCTACACTCATCTCAGACAGAGACCCCAAATTCACGAGTAAGTTCTGGAAGGAGCTCATGGGACTGTTGGGGACAAAGCTTGCAATGTCTTCAGCATACCACCCCCAGACTGACGGACAGACAGAGCGACTCAATCAATTGGTTGAACAGTTACTGCGCACAGCTTGCAAGGACGACGTCAGCCACTGGGACACACAGTTACCGACCCTAGAGTTCGCTTACAACAACACATCACATGCGGCCACAAGGAAAACTCCTTTCTTCCTGTGGTACGGACGGGAACCACTCACACCACAGCAGCCAACCACACCGGCACACGTCCAAGCCGCACATGACTTCGTCACCACCATGCAGCAGCTATGGGAGAAGACTCAACGACGTCTCACCACGATGCAGAATTCCCAGAAACAGTATGCCGATCGTCAGCGACGTGATCACTCAGTAGCAGTCGGAGATCAGGTGCTTCTTGACACGCGCAACTTGAACCTGTCTCACCTTCCATCCAAACTCCGGCCTCGCTTCTGTGGTCCTTTTCTTGTTGAGGCACAGGTGACACCAGTTACATTCCGCTTGCGCTTACCAGATACATGGAAGCTTCACAACGCTTTCCATGTCCAGCTACTGAAGCCCTACAAGGACCCCAACCAACAGTTCCAGGGTCGGCAACTACCGCCACCACCACCTGTTCTCATACAGGATGAACCCGAGTACGAGATCGAGCGCGTTCTCTCTCATCGGCGCCGCGGTGGCAAGACTCTCGAGTTCCTGATACGCTGGAAGGGATACGATCCCACTGAGGACAGTTGGGTTGCAGAAGCTGATATGGGCAACACACGCCGTGCTCTCAAGGACTATCTTGTCAAGCAGGGTGTATCTCACGCCACCCAGCTTTGAGGGGGGGACGTGTGAGAGTACAACGGCTTATGCCAGCTATGCTTGCTTGCCTCTACTTTATCATGCTATTTCTAGCATAGGATAATCATATGCATGCATGAATTGCTTGATTTCCTAGGCTAGGTGCTTTCCTATATTTTATTATAGTTATAGCACCGAGCTAGGTTGCGTGCACCGAATTCTGGCTTTTCGGTTGCCACCGAATTGCCTTCTACCGAATTCGGTAAGGATCCGTTCGGGACGCTACACGGCCCGCGGAACCTTCGCGTAACACCTGGTTACGGGGCCTTGTGTCGAGCCTATATATAGCCTCGTGTTGTACCCAGGTGAACATTCAATTCAATTCAATTTGAATCATCACCCAGATCCTCACACGCCCTCTCCCGTCTCCTTGTCGGGATGATAGTACGGCCAGAGATCGACTTCGTCCACTCTACGAATGAACTTGAGTCGCGAGGTGCTATAATTTTCTCCATGGAACCGTTGGGCCTCGTTAAGCCCAATCGTTGGTTTCGCCGTCAATTTAGCTTGTGCTAGCGCTGTTAGGATGGCCTGTAGTTCTGAGCCTCCAATGCCCACAGAGGAGCCCGAACTTGCCTCTGTATGATCTCCCGTCATACTTAATAGATTCCGCCTTTCCTTAAAACGCTATAACACGCCTTAAACCAGCTCTGATACCAGCTCTTGAACGTGCGCAGCCTTTAGTCTAGACTATAAAGACTATTTAGAGTCTTAGTAGTATGCATAGTAACCTGTGGCTTCAACTGTGTGAAGGAATTTGATGGAAAACGAAGGCAGAAAGTTGAAGTAATTTCATTGAAGAAGGCATACAAAAACAGAAAACACAAAGCAAGTTACAAGCAAAAGGATTTCTGATTTCGCCCTCGCGCCGCGCCTAATTTCGAGCTGAGTTGTACTCGGCTCAATTTCCAAATCCAACCATGCACCGAACGCACCTCCAGTTCCAAATTCAGACTTCATTGGACGCGCCTTTGACCCGGCGTGACTTCTCTTCACGTCACTTGAAAGCATGACATTTCAGCCATGTTCTTCTCCATTTCAGCACGCTTCCTCTCCTTCTCTTCGTTTCCCACTGCAGGTCGCGCTGCTACCGTGTTTCTCCTTCCACCGTCCCAACATAGGTAGTCTCTCTTCTTAGGTCCTCGCTTCCCCATAGTCTCAGCTCGTCAAAGTAGGTTTTTCTTAGGTCGATGTAGGTCACTCCAGGTTGTGCTAGGTCGTGGTTAGCTAACCACCGTCAACAGAATGGGGGGAAGCAGAGAAGGGGATGGGGGGAAGCGGGGAATGGGATGTGGGGAAGCAGAGAAGGGGATGGGGGAAAGCAGAGAAGGGGATGGGGGGAAGCAGGGAAAGGGATGGGGGGAAGCAGGGAAGGGGATGGGGGGAAGCAGGGAAGGGGATGGGGGAAAGAAGAGAAGGGGATGGGGGGAAGCAGTGAAGGGGATGGGGGAAAGCAGAGAAGGGGATGGGGGGAAGCAGAGAAGGGGATGGGAGGAAGCAGGGAAGGGGATGGGGGGAAGCAGGGAAGGGGATGGGGGGAAGCAGGGAAGGGGATGGGAAGAAGCAGAGAAGGGGATGGGGGGAAGCAGGGAAGGGGATGGGGGGAAGCAGGGAAGGGGATGGGGGGAAGCAGGGAAGAGGATGGGGGAAAGCAGGGAAGGAGATGGGGGGAAGCAGGGAAGAGGATGGGGGGAAGCAGGGAAGGGGATGGGGGGAAGCAGAGAAGGGGATGGGGGAAAGCAGAGAAGAGGATGGGGGGAAGCAGGGAAGGGGATGGGGGAAAGCAGAGAAGGGGATGGTGGGAAGCAGGGAAGGGGATGGGGGGAAGCACGGAAGGGGATGGGAGGAAGCAGAAAAGGGGAGGGGGGAAGTAGGGAAGGCGATGGGGGGAAGCAGAGAAGGGGATGGGGGAAAGCAGAGAAGGGGATGGGGAAAGCAGAGAAGGGGATGGGGGAAAGAAGAGAAGGGGATGGGGGAAAGAAGAGAAGGGGATGGGGGGAAGCAGTGAAGGGGATGGGGGAAAGCAGAGAAGGGGATGGGGGGAAGCAGTGAAGGGGATGGGGGGAAGCAGGAAAGGGGATGGGGGGAAGCAGGGAAGGGGATGGGGGGAAGCAGGGAAGGGGATGGGAGGAAGCAGAGAAGGGGGTGGGGGGAAGCAGGGAAGGGGATGGGGGGAAGCAGGGAAGGGGATGGGGGGAAGCAGGGAAGAGGATGGGGGAAAGCAGGGAAGGAGATGGGGGGAAGCAGGGAAGAGGATGGGGGGAAGCAGGGAAGGGGATGGGGGGAAGCAGAGAAGGGGATGGGGGGAAGCAGAGAAGAGGATGGGGGGAAGCAGAGAAGGGGATGGGGGAAAGCAGAGAAGGGGATGGTGGGAAGCAGGGAAGGGGATGGGGGGAAGCATGGAAGGGGATGGGAGGAAGCAGAAAAGGGGAGGGGGGAAGTAGGGAAGGCGATGGGGGGAAGCAGAGAAGGGGATGGGGGAAAGCAGAGAAGGGGATGGGGGAAGCAGAGAAGGGGATGGGGGAAAGCAGTGAAGGGGATGGGGGGAAGGAGGGAAGGGGATGGGGGGAAGCAGGGAAGGGGATGGGGGGAAGCAGAGAAGGGGATGGGGGGAAGCAGGGAAGGGGATGGGGGGAAGCAGGGAAGGGGATGGGGGTAACCAGGGAAGGGGATGGGGGGAGGCAGGGAAGGGGATGGGGGAAAGCAGGGAAGAGGATGGGGGAAAGCAGGGAAGGGGATGGTAGGAAGCAGGGAAGGGGTTGGGGGAAAGCAGAGAAGGGGAGTGGGGGAAGCAGGGAAGGTGAGGGGGGAAAGCACGGAAGGGGATGTGTGGAATCAGGGAAGGGGATGGGAGGAAGCAGGGAAGGGGATGGGGGAAAGCAGGGAAGGGGATGGGAGGAAGCAGAGATTGGGATGGGGGGAAGCAGAGAAGGGGATGGGGGGAAGTAGGGAAGGGGATGGGAGGAAGCACGGCCTCCTCATGGGACTCTGCTGCTTCCTGTGCCGTTTTTGCCTCTGTTCATCTGTGGTCCTTGCTTCCCACTCCTGCTCCTGGGTCTCACCACTCCTTTGTTTACCGTGCTGTCTGTGCCTCCTCAGCGTCCTCCGCCCCTCTACTCACCAACCCATCATCCTACGTATGATCTGTTTGGCTCCCGCCTGCTCTGGACTGTGCTTGGTTTACCAGGATCCAGTATTAGAAATGCAGGAAACAAACAAAGAAGCAGCGAGCTCAACCCCTAGGGCAAGCCTATGTACAAGAAGATGCTTGCCTAGTCGAAGCTCTTGCTGCTGAGCAAGAGGCACACAAACAAACATACACCTGTCACTGTAGAGAGACTCGGGAGCACCCGAGGCTATGTACAAGTCGGCGGCGGTCTATGCTTTCATGAGCAATTGCAAAGGTCTTGGGCCCAGCTGTCTTGGCCACGACATGCTCGTTTGCTTCACTAGCCAGCTGGCGGGTTGCTGCACTTGTCCACGTTTGTAGCTCCTCGCTGCGACCCTGAACACACCGGCAGAACAAGGAAAGGAAACATTCACAGACCAAGCATACTCATACTCATCCGACATGCCACGCACATGTACAGTACACAACATCGCACCGCATACCACACCTCAGTCACAGCCCACCCTGCCCGCATCCTCGTTTGCACCCTCCGACTCGCTTTCCGTGGTTCACTCAGGTTTCGCTGTACACTGCTTCCCGCCTTATCCACTTACAACTCCTCTGCGGTCTCAGCATTACACTGTCCTCCCAGACGATGAAAGATGGGCAGTGTAATTCTCCCACCTATGCGTTTTTACCCCACCGACGTCTTTTCATCCCACCCATGCCTTTCCATCCCACCCATGAGCTTTCATCCCACCCATGCCTTTCCATCCCTCCCATGAGCTTGTCAAACTACAGTATATATATACTATATTTAGGTGTAGGCTGTAATGGGGTAGCCAATGTGGGGTATAACCCCTTAAGCTTTTACTCTTGTACCAACTCACTCGACACTTTTAGTCCATGCCTTCATTACTCCTCTAACATGGTATAGAGCAGGAGGTCCTTAGGACCTTAGGAGCTTTTTTTTCGAGCCCACCCTACGGTTACCGCATTACCCCGCGTCCTTCCTACCCTGCCCTGCGTCGCGCAGCCCCGCGCACGCCCTGCTTTTCCCCGCGCGCTGCCCGTTAGCAGCCCACGCGACCCGCACGTCGCCTCTGCTAGCTTGCGCGCAGCCCGCTAGCAGCCCGCGCGACCTGCCAGCTGCATGCACAGCCCGCGCGCGGCTCCTGCCAGCACACATGCCGCCCGCTAGCAGCCTGCACGCTGCCGCGGCTGCCTGCTCCGCCGCCCGCCCTACTGCCGCGGCTGCCTGCTGCGCCCATGCGCCGCCCACCTTGCTGCCGCAGCCACCCGCTACGCCCTGTGCGCAGCCCGCTCTCCTGCCTTGCCGGCCCTTGTAGCTCCGCGCGCCGCCTGCCTTTGCCGCGGCTGCGTGCTACACCGCCTGCCCTACTGCCGCGGCTGCCTGCTGCGCTCGTGCGCTGCCCGCCCTGCTGCTGCAGCCGCCTGCTACACCCTGCGCGCGGCCTGCCCTGCTGCCCTGCCGACTGCCTGTAGCCCCGTGCGCCGCCTGCCCCTGGTGCGGCTGCTTGCTACGCTCTAGCGCGCCGCCCTGCTGCTGCTTTTTGCCTGCAATCGCTCTGCCCTGCTAGTCCCACGCCGGCAGCTACGGCCACCCTCCGCTTTCTCTCGTTCGATGCTGAGGGCCGCCAGATTCAGTTCGACACCTGGCTCAATGACCTGCAGCTGTTCTTGATGAGCGATGGCAAGGACAACGTCTCTCTTTATGACCACACGTTTGGCGCCTCAGTCGCTCCTGATGCCACAGCTGAGCTTAGCGTCCGCTCCCAATGGCAGACTCGTGACGCTGCTGCCCGCCTAGCCATTTGCAACCACCTACCGCTAGCCAAACTCACGCATTTTGGCGAGCACAAAACCGCCAAGGCCTTGTACGACAATGTCATTGCTCGATACTCCTCCCCTGCCACTGCTGAGCTTAGCCACCTCATGCTGCTGTGCCTGTTTCCTGAGCTGTCCACCTTTGCCACAGTTGCTGATCTCATCACCCACCTTCGCACTAGCGACACTCGCCTTCGCGCCGCCCTCCCCAGAGAGGTCTGTACTAATAACCTGCCTCAGATGTACTGGACCCTCCACTTAATTGTCACCCGTCTACCTGACTCTCTTAGCTCGGTCAGGGACTACTTTCTCACTCGCTGTCCCACCGACCTCACTGTCGACCTCCTAGAGGAGCGCCTCCTTGCAGCAGAGAAGAGCATAGTCGCTGTAGGTGCTGGTCGTGGCACTCCTCGCACCCCCATCTTTGAGGGGTGCTCTCCCTCTTCCCTCACCCCCTCCTTCGCTTCTGCTGTTGCTGTTGACTTCCTTGGTGCTGAGTCTGCTGGTGCTGCTTCTGCTCCTAGTGGAAGGCACCGCAACGGCAAGGGCAAGAGAGCCAAGGGTAGCGGAGGTGGCACTGGGGGGGTGGTGGTGGAGGAGGAGGAGGAGGAGGAGGAGGAGGAGGAGGAGGAGGAGGAGGAGGAGGAGGAGGAGGAGGAGGAGGAGGATGAGGAGGAGGTGGCGGAGGGACTGGTGGCGGGAGTGCTGGCGGGAGTGGTAGCGGCAGTGGAGGCAGAGGCAGCAGAGGGGGTGGCGGCGGCGGTGGCGGCAGCGGTGGCGGCCGGGGCGGTGGTGGCGGCGGTGGTGGCGGTGGTGGCGGTCGGGGTGGAGGCACTGGCGCTGCCCACAGCGAGAAGCAGCAGCAGCGTCCCCAGACGTCCCAGCAGCTTCGTGAGTGGCTTGCTCAGCGTGGGAAGTTTGGGGGTGGTGATCGCTGCCCATATGTCATTCGCACAAGTGACCGCAAGGGTCAGACGTGCAACAAGTTTCACACCCAGCAGCGCTGCTTCTCCCGCTTTGACGACGCCCGGCGTGAGGAGATGGGCGATGAGTAAGAGCGCCCTCGCTGGCATGAGCTATAGAAGGCTAGTGTAGATGTTTTTGCTCTTGACTTTGATGCTATTATCTCTGCTCTGTATGCATTGGAAGTTAGTGCTGATGGTGTCTGTTACCTGTGTATGCCGCCTGACCTAGGTATAGAGGCTGCTCTCTTAGCCACTGCGCCTGCTGAGGCCTTGCACACCTTCACACCTGTCGAGGTTACTTGCGACACCTCTGGCCCAGCTAAGGGGGATGACGTTGCTGCTGGCGACGCGGTGCCCCCCCGCCGCTCACCACGCTTGGCGACCCCTCCGGGCTTTCCACCTCGACCGTCTTCGCCGCCTCTGCAGCCGGTTCCGGTTGACTCTGATGCTGCTGGGGGTGGTGTTGCTTGGGGTGCTGCGTCTGGGGGTGTTGAGCCTGTGCGTGAGGTGCTGGGGGGTGCGGAGCCTGGGGGTGCTGAGCCAGAGGGTACCGGGTCCGGGGGTGTTGAGTCTGCTGGGGTTCCTTCGGGTCTCCCTCTTTCTGCTGCTGGAGCTGGAGGTTCTGCTGCTGGAGGTACTACTGCTCGAGGTACTGCTGCTGGAGCTAGTGGTCGTAGAGACGCTGGGAGTGCTGGTGGTTCTGGTTCTGGACGTGCTCGTACTGGGGGTATTGGAGCTGCCAGGACTGGTGGTACTGCTGGAGCTGGAGGTGCCGGTTCTGGGGGTGCTGCTCCTGGAGGTACTGGAGCTGGAGACCCTGGAGCTGGAGGTGCCGGTTCCGGGGGTGCTGCTGCTGGAGGTACTGAGGCTGGGGACCCTAGAGCAGGAGGTGCCGGTTCTGGGGTGCTGCTACTGGAGGTACTGGGGCTGGAGAGGCTGGAGCTAGAGTTTCTGGAGTTGCTAGAGGTGTTGGAGTTGGGGATTCTGGAGCTGCTAGAGGCGCTAGAGCTGGGGGTTCTGGAGCTGCTGGAGGCACTGGAGCTACTGGTGCAGGTGACACTGCACAGCCGCGACTGTTTTTGCTCCACCGTCATCGTCGTCTCTGCCACCGCCTGACTACGTGCTTCGCCAGGTTCTTAGGCTCCCGTCTTCTACTGGTCTCCCATTACAGCCAGGCTCCCCACTGCCCGCTCATTCTCCATACACTAAGCAGACTGACTTGCTTACAGAGCGTCGTGAGCCTGCTTCTCGTCCTGCCTCGCCTGTTCGCGCGCGTCGCACTGGTCGTCGTGTTCCTCGAGAGCGTCCGCCTCCTATCCCTGGCACGCACGTTATGGTACTTCGTCCTTCCTCTGTTCCACAGCGTGTTCCCCTGCCGTCTCCTCCTGCGTCTTCTCTGCCTGACGTTTCAGACCCTGCGTCTGACCTGGTTTGTGCTGCTCACCCTACTGTCACGCGTCTGCTTGGCACTGTTGTCACTGACCCGTCGTTTAAGTCTGCTGCTGCGTCTCCCTTAGTCTCTGAGCTTGTTGACTTTGCTTCTGCCTGTTGTCTAGACTACGATGCTAGTCTTGTTGTTGAGTCTGAGTCTGTCTGTCCTCCGTCCGTTGGGGGTGAGTGTGCTCCTAGCACAGACGTCCTTGAGGACAGGCACAAGGACTTTGAGTGTCTTACGGCTGCTGTACCTCATATCGTGGCCATGCTGCTTGCCCCTAAGGGAGACCCAGATGCACCAGACATCCCGACCCCGCGCTCTTACGCAGAGGCAATTTCGGGTCCCTACTCCTCTTAGTGGCAGACAGCCATGGACGCAGAGATGGCATCTTGGAAGTCCACAGGCACTTTCACCGATGAGGTTCCCCCTCCTGGGGCGAACATCGTTGATGGCATGTTCATTTTCAGGGTGAAGCGGCCACTGTTAACGGGAACGGAGTGTTGGCCCCGCCCTCGCTTGGGCAACACCGACGTCCTGGTCGGATGTATGGGAGTAGCAGCCGACCGTTCACAGTGGGAGAGCTGCTCGACAG